AACTAATCTCGCTATAGTTTTACATCGAGAATAAAACTTCAAATCATACTTTACAAGCAATAACAACGAACATATCATATCGGCCCAGTGAGACTCTTCGCAGGGTTATAGCTGCTATCATAAAAGCAACGAAGAATATACCTCACCATAACTATAGGTGAGCATATAAAATAATGGGACTGTTTATATGCACAGCCTACGAACGAGGTTATAACTAGGTTTATAGTTCTATTCTGCACTAGTTGTTATTGATTGGCTGATGTTATTGTTTATAAGCTTGTGACTTTGATTTGATGAATAAAACTGATATTTTTAAGAGTTATTGACAAATTCACTATTTCCGTTTGAACGAAAATCATCTTTTTATATTTAAGTTTACGGTGAATCATGTAGGTAACCACGCAGTCGACTATTTTGTATTTTTAACTTGCTTTAGATATTTTCTTCTCCAGGCTGTACATATTTTGGTTTTATTAATTTATTATTTTTGTCAAGATTAATTGACTGTTATCAAATTTACCAAGACATGTGGAACCACCATAAAAGTGTATAGTAAAACGATACTCTTTAGACTCATGTTTATAAAGAAAAATTCATGAATTATACAATTGGCTATTTTAGTGGAACTTGATAACTATGTAAACATCTGAACAAATTCACAAATGTATAGATATACTAGCTTAATGATTATACCTGTACGTTTTCAGCAAATTTTCAACGAGAAAATCGTATACATAGTAGGTTTTCTGAAAGTATTTCCCTTATACTTTAATTGTATTTTGTGCAAACATATATTCTTTTCAGCAGGTAAGTTTCATAGATAAATTGTTACTCCCCTTTTAATACTTTGCAAACAATAGTTGGATACAAGTTATTTGTTATTTTTAATCTATAATTATTGATGGGAAATGTTTTGAAGATAAATGCAAAAGTACAAAACAACAATAAAACGTCAATAAAAACTGGTACATGATAGTGGAATACGTGTGGATTTTTAGTCTGGGATAGCATCCACCACTGAAAATCAGGCTACAGCCACTTAAATAATCAAAATGTTAAAGATTTTAGTTATGCGTTTCACCAAAAACACAAATAAATAGAGAATACGTGTTATAGAAACACTTAAGATATCAAAACATCTTTTCAAAGATTAATCTGGACCAATGATGTGGTAAATTACATTAAGAGAATGGAGGGTGTCAATTGATTCAACAATTAGTAGCTCTACTTATGAAGTCATCGCTCTTATTTTTAGTGTTGGTGTAGACTTTCATTTGGATTTATCGCTGGCGCTGGCCATTTTAATTATGATTCATTGCGAGAGGTTTCCGGACTAGGGGACACGGATTGGGGCAATCTGACGTAATTTTATTTGTTGGCTCAAAAAGAATAGAAACTCTGCAACCCCCTTTGTTTATATTGGACAGTGATCTATATTTATTTACAACATTTCAGTGCAGTCAAACTATTTAGGTTTTAATTTTATTAAAAACAGAATCCGATTAAGGACAGATTTAATTGCTTACTTTAGACTTTGTGCTGCGTGAAAAAATTTGGTGTTACATTATCATCTATCATCCTTAAATTCAATATTTAACGTGCAAAGAGATAGGATTTTTAAGATAGTAGGGCCTATTACTTAAAACTTAAAAAATTTATTGCTTACAAATAAATATACATAAAATACCACGCAGTTTATAACGTTTCCTAGTACAAATCCCTCGAAGTTCCTAAGAATTTTTTCGTTTGTCGGAAAATTCATGAAATGCCAATTTGGCAACTCTTTCCTCAGCTGCAAGACCCACCAAGGAAATTACTAAATAGTCGACCGAAATAGGATTAGCAAGTGTTTTTATTTTCCATGTTGTACCCTATAAGAAACTAGCGTTTAGGTCAAATAACACAAATTAAAACTATTAACTATAAAAGTTTATATAAATGTGCTTTACAAAATCTACGGTTCAAGAATAGAACATGTTTAAGATCCGTATACAAGGAAACATAAGTTCATATTAAACTAGAGGATCCACGCTGCTCCGTAGCATTAAAATAAATATAATATCCGAGAAATAATCAAATTTATGATTTTTGATTGAGTAATCCATTATCTTGAGTTGAACTGATTCAAACGATAGTTCAAATTAAAGCCTATAATTTACTAATTAAGTCTAAAATATAAAAAAAACATTAAAAATACTGGAGAGATTGATTTTTAATCATAGAAAAACCTTATGAAAAATAAATTTATTTGCGTTTGCTTGAAACTCGTCCGATTTGAATAACTAATAGCTTAAATGAAAGCCGGTATTTCACTGAAGGTTCTTAGGCCGAAATATATAGGATTATATAATTATAACTGGTGAAATAGATCTTAAATTGAAGTAAGGATTCATAAATGAATCAAATTATGTTTTTTGGTCGATTAATACAGTAGGTAAATATATGCCGAAGCTTGATGGCAAATATGTGCGTGCCCATCAATTTGATACTTCAATCATGAAAATCGGTCGGGTAGAAGAGCCAATCGAACTCGGAAAAGAAAAACCAAATTTTTTTAATATATAAGATATCTTGAGAACTAAAATTCTTGTAACCGATAAATAATATGACAAACAATAACGTATATTTTATAACAAATTATGGACAGTACCAAGAGACACATTTTAACACGCATATACCAAATCAACCCTTTCATGAAATGCCAAGACGGAGTTCAAGTCGGAGGCCCACAAGTCAAAATGACGGAGAAGAGAGAAGAGGAGATAGAAGAGAAGGTGAAGAAGGAGTCTACATAAATTGCCAGCCATGGATTATGGTGATCGAAAATTTTATTGTATGGCTGATGCCCCCAGCCCCTGGAGGGCATTAAGCGAAATTTCAAAAAACATGGCACATCAAGTATAAATTCATGTAATGTATTTTCCGTTACATTTAGTATTCGTTTTGTTAACGAATAAAAAGGGAATCAAACTAACGTTGTCTTTTTTCATACAAATAAATATTTATTCTAAGTTATGCCATAGTTCTACACAATTTTACTCTGTATATCTTCCAATAAGACGCAAGGACCACGTTAATGCGTGAAAGAGGTATACAATTTGCAGATATTTTATCCGCATTAGCTGGTTTTGTCAAAAGATAATACTTTACTACAGTACATAGGTAATATAGAACGAAAATGTGACGACGTGTAATCATCTGTGTGGGTTCACCATCGAACCCATACAATTTAAAATAAAGATTGAAGCACTGCTCCCATTCAGATAAAAACGTATGATAATATATAGCCGCAAAAGGTTTGAAGTTTTTTATTAAATTGTTATACTCTATGCAAAAGGTATCATAATTCGATGATTTTACCAACTACATAAACGTTAAACGGATTTGCTTAAAATCTGCACAAAATACTTCTGGCGTTACTTACACAGACCAAAATTCAATATTTTCACCAAGATAAGCATTGTCACCGTTATTTCATTTTATTAATTTTATAGAAATATAAAACTGCCAATCTTTTCTAAATTACACTCGATCTAGTCAAATATTTCAGATTATTATACAGATAAAATATATCTAAGATTTTTAGGAGAAGTGACATAACAGAATGAAATTCAGGCATTCGAATAAAAGCCATATGCCACAAAAAACACCTTGTAAAGGAACTACAAAACACTAACTGGTGCCGGTGTTTTTACAATGTAAATTATTTGCTTTCGGTGTGACCCGCACGTGACCGTGCATCGGCCCGCCAGATCGGGTTCCCGCCAAACCACACAGCCATTAATCAGCTGGTAATCAGGTGTTGAACAGGTCGGCTGATAAACATCTGACTGCTACACTTACCCAGTAATTGCTGTTCCGCCTTCTATGCCAGATGTATAGTAGTTTAAGTTGTTATATAGTTAGTTTTATATATAGTTTTTTTTAGTTTACCGTTGTGAATTGATACGTATTTTAGAGAAATATTTTTTTATTTGACAATATAAGTACTAGAATGGTAAAATTTTAAAATTTTTCATCCTAATTTCTAGGAAAATTCCCTTGGAATGTCTATCATGGCATGACGGCGAATTTAAATTTAAATTAGTAATTACAAATATTTTAAATTAACTTTTCCCCCCATTTGCTAATATAGTTTAATTTTAATATTCTCTCTCATATAAATCCTGCAAAACTGTTTATATTGAAGCATTAGAAGCCCAAGAGGGTTGAAAGGTTTTAAATTGCCAATAAGAAAAAATAATTTTAGATTAATGTTTTAAAAAATTTTAAGGTGATCAAAACAACCATTAGTAACAAAGAACAGCTGGATAAAGATTTAATACAATACGTACAATTTGGAATATCTTATCATAGTGCTGTTCATTCATTATAGGTAATTTAAATTATGACTATGTAATGAAATTATTTATAATGTATTTTATTTGCATTACATAAATCAAACAACTTTAATTTATACTTTTAGTCTATTAATGTGTATTTGTTAATGTAAGAATTTCATATTCTTGGCTTGGCGTGATCGTAATACGGTGTATCGTAATATTTCAAAAAGACCACGGATCTAATCTAAGACAATATTAATTAAAGAGAACCCCAATTTTATCCATTACTAAGTTATTGTGTATGTATACACCTTGTATGTATGAATACACCTGTATTTTTGCAAAATTTCTCTAATTAATAAAATCCTCTAATCATAAATATTATTTTCTATGACATAGTTTCACTACAAATTAGCACTATCTTGTACAGTTCGGTTTCCACCATAGAATGTCATATAATGTATAAACAGTTTACTTAATGTTAATTGTATTTTTTTTATTTAAACCCCAACATTAAAAACTTTCCTATTTCCAGTGTGTATTAGTTATATCGCCTCTACAAACAATTGGTTGTTATGAAGGATTATAAGGCCTAATTGGTTGTTATGTAGGATCAGGCTTAGTCAATCTAATCTATATTGCTGTTCTTGAAATGAAATACTTTATTGTTTGTTCCAGAACTCTAGAAGTGGAGAGTCCTACTCCAATTGGAAATGGGAACAGATGGGAAACCGAAAATCGTTGGATAACCTCTTTCAAGTGTATCGTTCAGGACTTCTAAAACCAGGTTTGTGAATCGCAGGTTTATGAGAACTACTCTTATGCATTGACATTACCTACTAGTATTTAGATGAGTATACAATAATAAAATTCACCCTTTAACACTATTTACTGTGTGATTGGTGGGTTAAAATGTACATGCATTAGGCATATCTTATGATTTATATAAACGTACTTACCACATTGTAAATGTTTACAGTAAAAATTTTTATGCGTCAAGGAGATGTATTTATCATGGTATAGTTTAAGTGCGAACAAGTATAGCAGGCTATTTAAAGGATGGGTACAACCACAGACCAATTTCCTTGTCTGTCATAACCTATCAAACAAAATATTTTACAAAAGTACGTGTATGCTTGGCGAAAGAAAACATACATCGTCCAGTCCCTAATAAATTCAAATTCACACAACAACTCATAATAAACACAAATATAGCTTAAAAAATTCATACGCACATATTAAATATGCATATTGCATACTGATAGTAAAACACACTTGAAAAAAACTTCCCCATTCATGTAAGTAGAAACGTAGAAACCCCATGATGAATTACTAGGCTTGAGTTAATTCACCACCAAACAGGTAATTGAGTATGGGAGTTAATAATAAATCCTGAACCTGCCTCACTCCCAGAATAGACTCAACAAAAAACTAAACCAATAGCAATTAGTTATAGCTAATCTGGGACATCTCAACCTGGCCTTTCCCTTAGTTTGAGCGGGTTTATGGATTAGTTTGGATGTTTTAGTTTGTTGCTGTCGCACCTTGTCCATTTGCAAATTGTGTTGGAAGTCTGTTTGAAACTTGTTTAAAATGAGTAGGTCTTGTGAAAATTTGATTGATCGGCCGTAGAACGATTGGCACACATTTTTAGCCGATTTGGAATAGCACGACTGGCACAATCATTAGAGGGGATTAAGAAGGGTCAAACTGTAAGGTTCGGAAAGGCACGATTCGTACAACAGACCGGTAAGGAAGTAGTAGGCAGGTAGCCAGAATGCGGGAGAATGGAAATTGTTTTGTCCCCACAAAGTCCCCGCTGTAGTGCTTATTAGAGTTAGCAATTACTGTACTTCATCCATGGTGTAAGTTTGAGCGACAAATCTGCTGCTAAGGTCACTGCCCCTGCTGGACCCAAATAAAACTACACTAACCCAACCTAACTTAACTAAACCTAACCTAACTTAACTTAACTAACCTAACCTAACTTAACCTAACCTAACTTAACCTAACCTAACCTAACCTAACTTAACTTAACCTAACATAACCTAACGTAACCATTGAAAATACGCGATATTACCGGAAAATGACTGTCGTACGGAATGAGTTTACGGGGAATTTTAAACTTCCCGTTTTCCCTCGTTCAATGGCGTTTACCTGGTCGAGCGGTTGTGCCAATCGTGCCTTTTCCAAGCAGGCGAGTTGACCCTACTTATTCTGCTCAAATGATTGTGCCAATACTGCCATGGGCAGAAGATCCAAAAATGTGGGCCAATCGTCCCGTTCCCGATTGATCGTAAAATAAATATACGTGTGCAAGCTGAGACGAATGGCTAATGTTGTTTTTGGTTTGTGTATTTTCAAGTTATGATTTTTAATTTGTTTCATGAGTGTGGAGAAGGTGTTTTAGCAAAAGCTTAATAAATCCAGAAAGTTTTTGTACGTACTCTTTTGAATATTTTTGCATGAAATCAGTGATTTTTGTTTTCTTACAATGAATGTATTGCTAGTAAAAATAATAAATGAGCAATTCGCTTGCAAGAGCTAATGTCTCCAGTTATATTTCTAACATTTCCAAACAACCCGATTTCGTAGTACTTTTATAATATCTCAAGTCAAAATAACAATTTCTCTTGGACAATTAAGAACTTCTTAGGGTAGTAGAAGGTGGTTTTAAATGAATTTGAAAAATTTCAAAAGCAAAGCTATTTTTACTTGTAAAAACATTTTGATTTGGGAAAATCCTAACAGTTTCATATAAGCTAAAAATTGACCAATACTTGCCAAGGATGTCTTATAAATACTTTTTAGTCGTATTTATCAGTAATATATATGCCACAGTACGATCATTAAATGTATGTACTAAGTAATCGCATGAAATTCTGACTCAATTATTATTTTAAATTACTTTATATTACTACACAAACTACATAATTTTCAATTGAATCATACTCGCCTTCCATAACCCAAATTTTAGCTCAAAACCGATACATCACAAATTGTAATCTTGTATTTAAACAACACATCAAAAACTCCCTTTGAAATATTCTAAAATCGTCTGTTAATCCACGAGACCAACAACGTGGCAAAACAAATCTGCCACAAAAAACCAACAGCAGGCGTCAACAATCCACTTATCTTGTTGGGAATCAGCTGTAAATCTGGGAAGGGTGTAATGGGTTGTTATTATAGATAATAAATCACCATAACAGCTAGACCGACACTTCCTGTAACTTGGACCCTCCCCTCCCCCTACTAGGACACCCCTAATCTCCATCTCCCTCACACCTTGACACGTGGTGTTTAGAAGGTGGGGGAGGGGACTGTTGTACACTGGTCATGGAACGATTAGAGATTTTTGACGATTTACACGTTTACCTCCTTTGGTGTGTATATTCGTAACCTATCAACAATTGTCTAATGAACTATACTTTGTCGTAAATATTTACTTGGTTTTTGCCAAACTGTTGCTTGTAATTTTCTGTTTTTCTAATCCAAGTTAGGTGGATTAATTTTTTTTATAAAAACTGCTTCACAATATTTTTTATAGCAAGCCCACAGATCGTATGGGCTTTTCTATGTCTGCTGATTCCCTTTATGACAAACAAAATTGAATTTTTCAAAACTTTTGTAGCAACCAGTGTGGCATATAACAGGTTATTTATTCGTCTAGAGGTGTAGTAATCTTATTTATCTGCTTAAATAGGCACAAAGGCTAAGAATACAATCACTGCAAGAACTCTTTAAAAGTCAAAATAGAATTTTTGACTTCGTAGCTGTCTACAACACGTTCTTTAAAGTATAATGATATCATTCTGCAAAAGATTAACTGCATAGGCTATATGCATCTTAAATTTAAAATTATTTGATAAGCCAAATATATATGCATTATTATTCTCTCATATATAAATGTACATACTGTACAAAAAAATTAAAATATCGCGTCGTACTGACCGAATAAAACATGTGTCTTACATAAAAGGAAAATCATTCGCTTTAGCGCTCAACCGGTTAAAAGGTACTATAAAATAAACACCGCTCGTTTCATCCTGGTATTAATATATTCAACACAAGGTCGATTTATTTCGAACATAAACACGATTAGAACATAGAGGGTTCGCCGGTTATGTTAGCGTCTCTTTGCCATCGCACTACATGATTATATTGTATTAACGTGTTTATGTTCAGCAAAATCACCTAATAGATTGTCATTAAATAGTTGAAACATTACAAATAAATTAACAAGCTAATCAAATTAAGGGGCAATAAATCTTCCCGAACTAAATGTACATTTAAATAATATAGAAGGTCATTTAGTGGTCAGATATAATAATCATCGTTGATAAGAGAACGTTGAAACGTTTATGAACAAAAGTAACAACGTCAACATTTAATTTACCATGCCAACCGTTGAACATATTTTGCATTTGTATTGAGTCGTTCAGAAAGTAAACAAAGTATAAGAAAATTATAGATAGAAAATTATGTAATCATCTAAGAAACAAGTAGTATAATTGAATAGAAGACACAGATAACGATAGTGCAGTGGGATATCAATTATACAGTTCTTAATTTTGAACCTAGGTTTCATTAATTAAGTTTAATAGATTAATAAAAGATTCAATTAAAGATTAGGTGGGTTTCAAATATACTCGAACAGACACATTAAATCATTCTATTCTGTCGAAATTGACAAGTAAACTAACAAATACCTTGTATTATTATGGTACATGACTTACACAAATACTAAACAAACAGTTTCTGTTCTTAGACTAGGCATGGTCCTTTTCAAATATATTTACATAGGCTACATTATTTCAGATACTAATGTTTAGCCTGTCTAGATTCTATGTGGACCAAAGATTTGCGGATCCTATTGATTACAAAGCAGCTGACATTGAATTGTCTAATCGTGAAGCTTTAAATGTTTGATTACAATAAGTCAAGTAAATATTTCCGTCAAATCTTCATTATCTCATTTCTTCACCGTTCAGATATATGCTGCATACCTAGATCCAACAGTCTGCTGAAAACACTTCAGACAAAACATATTAAAATGAAATGTTTTTATTGTCCTTAGAATTTTCACAAATTATTGAAAAAGTCATCAACCTGCTAAAGTGTATAGCATAGTCAGTTAATAAATGCAGCAAGATACAATATAGCTAACTACATGAAATGAGACATGTTACAATACATATTTTAAATATTACAATTGAACAATCTTATTCGAAAAAAAAATTGTGGCATTGAAAATAATGGAAGCGATTAAACCGCATAACCAACAAAGTCCAACAGTACTTTGGTCAATTCGCTAACTGTACTTAAAAATTAATACCAGACATTAAAAAAAAATTATTTAGAGAATAGAATGGGTTGTTCAAAAGCCATCTGTAGGATTTAGTTTTAAAAGTATTTTCCGGATATTTTCGTATTAAATGTGTGTGTTATATTTTTAGTGAGATTACAATATGGGTTTTAAGAGTTTTAGACAGTCTGAAAAAATCAATGGTAGCAACTCTTTTATTCCTTGTATAATGAACATGAGAATTTTGTTTGATTAAGTTGGGATTTTTTAGAACGTATGATACAGACTCAAATGAATAAATGTTAATCACTGTTGGAATTTGTAGCTGAATGAACAGGGATTTACAGTGTTCCTGTTGGGGTTCATAAGATATAATTCTAACCAACTTCTTTTGTAAGACTAAAATTTCCTCTATCCTACTGCAATTTCCGTAAAAGATAATATTGTATCTAAAAATGGATTGAAAATAAGCAAAGTAG